CCCGCTGTGCGGAGTGCTGCTGCTGCTCCCGGCAACGTTTGAGAGGACTCCAGCTCTTGATGAGGTGGCCACGAGCAATGGTGAGGCTGTCTGTTGTGCAAGGTGTTTGCGTGATAGTGCTCGCACTGCTGGTGAAGGTTGGGGTAGAGAACGACAATGCCATCCGACCTCCACTGTGGTGGGAGCAAAATACTTATCCAATTGCTCTGGGTTCTGAATTAACTCTGAAATATGGTCATACGGTTTCAAAACCTTTCATTGAAGTTCACGTTGTGCCACACGTAATGTAAGCACGTGAACCAAACCGGCTGGGGTAATCGCACCCCTTCTGGCGCAAACTCGTTTTCCACCGGCTACAAATCTTATCAATGATCGTTATCATTGACGTCAGCCATCGGACGACTCGTGTTCAGAAGGGCTGGTCACAGTGTGACGGTGCCTCTCCGCTCCGCCCCGGCCACTGACCCCCCCCCCCCCCCCCACCGCCAGGGCGACATCGATCGCATGATCAACCACCCGACGATGCCGGCCAAGGGGGCGCGGCACACGCTCATGTTCTCGGCCACCTTCCCGGACGCCATCAGCGGCTGGCGGCCAACTACCCTGAACGACTACCTGTTCCTGATGGTGGGCGTGTGGGCGCCGCGTCCACGGACGTGACGCAGACCTTCCTCGAGGTTGTCGCACCGCGAGAAGCGCGACAGCTGGAGATGCATTCTGCGGGAACATCGGCAACGCCAAGCGTTGGTGAGAGGCGCGCCGGTGCGCGGCGCATGGACGGGGGGGGGGGGGGTCTTGGCCGGCGGCAACGGCGCCGTGGCCCCGGCCAAGACGTTGGTGAGAGGCGCGCCGGTGCCGGCGCCTGGACGGGGGGGGGGGGGGGGGGGGGGGGGGGGTATTGGTGGGGGGGGGGTTGGGGGGGGGGGTGTTGCCGGCCGGCGGCAACGGCGCCGGTGGCCCCGGCCAGCGTTGGTGAGGAGGCGCGCCGGTGCGCGGCGCCGGGACGGGTGGCGTCTGGCCGGCGGCGCGGCGCCGTGGCCCCGGCTGATCCTAGTTAGGTGAGGTGAGGCGAGGTGAGGTCACGTCACGACAATCTGGAGAGCATTCTGCGGGACATCGGCAACGCCAAGACGCTGGTGAGAGCGCGCCGGTGCGCCGGTGCCGAGGCGGGGGTTGTCTGGCCGGACGGCGCGGCGCTGTGGCCCCGGCCAAGACGCTGGTGAGAGGCGCGCGCGGTGCGCCGGCGCGCGGTTTGCCGGGACGGCGGTGTCTGGCCGGGCGGCGCGCGCTGTGGCCCCGGCCAAGACGCTGGTGAGAGGCGCGCCGGCGCGCCTGGTGCCGAGACGGCGGTGTCTGGCGGCGGCGCGGCGCTGTGGGCCCCGGCCCAAGACGCTGGTGAGAGGCGCGCGGTGCTGGGACGGGGGTTGTCTGGCCGGACGGCGCGGCGCTGTGGCCCCGGCCAGACGCTGGTGAGAGGCGCGCCGGTGCGCGGTTGCCGGGACGGAGGTGTCTGGCCGGACGGCGCGGCGCTGTGGCCCCGGCCAAGACGATGGTGAGAGGCGCGCCGGCGCGCGGTGCCGCGGACGGGGGCGTCTGGCCGGACGGCGCGGCGCTGTGGCCCCGGCCAAGACGCTGGTGAGAGGCGCGCCGGTGCGCGGTTGCCGGGACGGGGGTGTCTGGCCGGACGGCGCGGCGCTGTGGCCCCGGCCAAGACGCTGGTGAGAGGCGCGCCGGTGCGCGGTGCCGGGACGGGGGTGTCTGGCCGGACGGCGCGGCGCTGTGGCCCCGGCAAGACGCTGGTGAGAGGCGCGCCGGTGCGCGGTGCCGGGACGGGGGTGTCTGGCCGGACGGCGCGCGCTGTGGCTCCGGCCAAGCGCTGGTGAGAAGTGCGCGGTGCTGGGACGGAGGTGTCTGGCCGGGCGGGCGCGGCGCTGTGGCTCCGGCCAAGCGCTGGTGAGAGGGTGCGCGGTGCTGGGACGGAGGTGTCTGCCGGGCGGCGCGGCGCTGTGGCTCCGCCAAGACGCTGGTGAGAGGCGCGCGGTGGTGGGCAGGAGGTGTCTGGCCGGGCGGCGCGGCGCTGTGGCTCCGGCCAAGCGCTGGTGAGAGACGCGCCGGCGCGACGGCGCCGGGACGGGGTGTCTGGCCGGGCGGCGCGGCGCTGTGGCTCCGGCCAAGACACTGGTGAGAGGTGCGCGGTGCTGGGACGGGGGTGTCTGGCCGGGCGACGCGGCGCTGTGGCCCCGGCCAAGACGCTGGTGAGAGACGCGCCGGCGCGCGGCGCCGGGACGGGGGTGTCTGGCCGGCGGCGCGGCGCTGTGGCCCCGGCTGATCTGTGAGGAGTCTGGCTTCGCCGGAACGCTGCGTCGTTGAGTGCGTGAGGGAAGGGTACCTCGGGTCTGTGGCAGCGAGTCGGCGGTGCGCGCTCGTTCCGTCACCAGGCAACCACTGGTTGGAAATGACGAGCATATCCGGCCGCAGGGAGTTGCGTACTGAATGGCGTGCTTGTTACGCGTTGGAAACATTCGGAAGTGTTCACAGATCGCGGCCCTGGTGTGCTAGATGGTCTGGGCTCGTCACTAAGGCCACGACCGCTACAACTGTCGCCTGATCTGTGGGAAAAGCCTCGACTTGTCTTCTGGCCGTAGCCCCACTGGTGCTGCACGGCGCGCCGAAGCGCGCAACAGACCCCGTCCGTCCCGCTGCACCGGGCGCGACCTGGACTAGGTCCATGCGCGACCCTCACCTCACGCCGCGGCCGCCGCGTGACCGTGCCGCCGTCTGACCTCGCCTGCCTCTCCCCGCCAGGTGTTCGTGGAGGCGAAGCGGGTGGCCGACTTCATCGCGTCGCACCTGTGTCAGGCCGGCTTCCCGACCACCAGCATCCACGGCGACCGGCTGCAGCGCGAGCGCGAGGAGGCGCTGGCCGACTTCAAGTACGGCAAGACACCGACGCTGATCGCCACGTCGGTGGCCTCGCGCGGCCTCGGTGAGTGTGGCCGCCGCCCTGGGGCCGTCCGTGTCGGCGGGGCTCGTGAGCTCGTGGCCGAGAGCGAACGCTGCGTGTTTGGAGGCCAGGCGTGTTGTGTGACGCGTCATGATCGGGCGTCGTCGAGATTTCATAAAACAGGAGTCGAACTGTTGTGCCATCCCCCGAGCAATTTTTGTGCCTGCGTGTGGAGTTAATGTCAGAAAAGAATGGAACGAAAGTAAGCAGGGGTAAGCAAAGTCCCCGATCCAAGAGTGAACCTGATCCAGTTTACATTAGCACAACACTTAACCAGGGTTTAATTCGTTGGTAGTAGTTTGCTATTTTGTTGGTTACGTTAAGTAGACTGTTTGCGACATGCCTGATACTGTTTCCACTGCAGCCGCGTGACGCGGCGCAGCCCTGGCTAACCGACGCCCCCTCCCCCAGACATCAAAGGCGTGGCCAGCGTGATCAACTACGACCTGCCGAAGGCCTCGACGACTACGTGCACCGGATCGGCCGCACGGGCCGCGTGGGCAACACTGGCAGCGCCATCAGCTTCTACGACAGTGAGCGCGACAGCGCGCTGGCCGCCGACCTGGTGAAGATTCTGGCCGGCGCCGAGCAGGAGGTGCCCGACTTCCTGCAGCGCGACGCCGGCAAACGCCGACTTCGGCGGCGCTGCCGGCGGCTCGTACGCGTCACGCGACATCCGGCGCGGGGTGAGTCTGGCCGGTGCGGCGGGGACGTGACTGGCGCGGGGTGGCTGGAGGGACGCGCCGACAGGGTGCATTCATGGTACTCGTGGCGAGCAACATTGCGACATTGTGCACTATCTCTGCTTGTCAGTTACTCCTCACCCAGGGTAATTCTTAAGTGAAACGGCGGTCACCAGATGATCAGACGAGAGAAAACGACTCGTGTGCGGAAGCCAAGTTCTACCCAATTTCAATTCTACTCCCATGAAATCATTTGATGCCCCAGAATTGGCAATGTTGACGATAAGGTAACGCACATTTCCGACACTGCAACAGAAACTACGTTGCAGTATCGTTCTGATGAGGAAGCTCTGACTGTCAGTTTGGGGCACGCCAGCGTTCATGCCTGGATTTCGCCGGTGTTCTCTAGCCGCGTTGTCCCGTGTTGAATTATGTGCGCTCGCCAGTCTGGTGCAGTGGTGTGATCGGCTCGGGCCAGGGCGCGTCCGGTCGGTGACGCCCGGCACCTGACTGACTGTTGGCTCGTGTGCCCGCAGTTCGGCGGCGGCGGCGGCAGCATGGGCGGCGCGGCGGCCGGCTACAACCAGCAGCCGGCCACCATGGAGGCGGAGGAGGGATGGGACTAGCGCCCGGGCCGGCCGGACTCGGCGCCGCCCCACCGTGCCGCGTGCCGTGCCGTGTCGTGGTGGCTGTAGATAGCGTTTCCGTTGTGTTAGCCAGGCGGGAGTGGGCGCCTGGCCGGCGGCTTGTTTCTTAGCGGGCTGGCAGCGGCCGGACCCCGCGCCGGCGACCGGCGCCCGCGCCTGGTGGGAGCACCGGGATGGCGGCGCTGCGCACCGGCAGCACGAAGACGGCACATCGCATTTCGTGACCGGCGGCATTCCATGGGGAGCTTGGCTTTGTGCCCGTATTCTGTGGCAGAGCGGGCGGGGGCCGGGCCGGCCGACATTGGCTGTGAAAGCCGCCTGGTCGCGCGCGCGAGAGAGAGAGAAGGGGGTCGCGCCCGGCCCCGCGTCTCAGGGCGGCAGGCGCCGCTCGAGGCGCGCCGTGGCGTCTGGGGGCAACCGGCACGTGTCTGCCGGGAGCCGACTCGGACCACGCAATCCGGAGCCGCGTGCATAGCACGCGTTCAGTTATTCTAGTTTATTGAACTCGCGGAGTCGAATAAATACGTTTTTTTTATTGGTCCGTCTCTCGAGTCTCCGAGGCCTGGGACAGAAACATTGACACGTAAGGCGCGAAGACTGCTGTCCATCGTCACCATCACGCTGACTCGGCCAACGACACTTCACGCGGAAGTACTGCGCGCCGGGTACTGGCGCGGACGCGGGAGCACACCGCGGCTGCGGACCCGGCTCACTACAGCCCGACGGTGTCGAGGAACTCCTGGCTGTAGGGCTTGTCGCCGACGAAGCAGGCGAACTTAAGCACGGCATCCGCAGCCGGCATCACCAGCACGCTGTCGGGCGGGCTGCAGTCGTCCGCGGGTCCTGCCGACGGGCCGGCCGTAAGCGCCGCGGGCACGTGTTGCGGGGGGGGGGGGGCTGGATGTGGACGGAGTTCGCCTCGCTGCAATTGGGAATCGAAAGCCAAACTAGCCGCGGTGCAGTGCGGAGATGGGGGGGGGGGGGGGGGGACGGGGGCGAAAATGGGTGCCTTCGTGCCAGGGTGAGAGGCAAGCGACCTCATATGGCCTCAGCAGCAGAGTGCGTCGTTGAGTGCGTCGTTAAGCTCCAATGACGACGGCAGAGAAGCCAGACATGACGCCGATGCCTCAGCTGCGTCCATTTACGCAGGTGGCAGCGTTCAGAAACACGGGTGGCTTATTTAAGGTCCTCCAGCATAGTCCAGCCCAGCTGGCCACATCCAAATTCTACAGCAAGATCCGACGGACCCAGGAGTACTGTATTCCATCCGCCGCAAGGCGAGGCGTGGCGGTGCGCGGGTCTCACCTTCGAACCAGGCGAGATCGGAGCGCTTGGAGAAGAGCGTGGTGCGGGACACCTGTCTGTTCTCGGTCAGGGTGACGCACCCCACCTCTTCCAGGGTCTGGAGCGGGGGGGGGGGAGGGGGTTAAGGGCGCGGCACGGTCGTGCGCGAGGCAGCTGGGCGCGCCGGTGCCGCAGCGACGGTGGCAAGACGGGTAGATCGGGAGGCGATAAACTCGACGGCCTGGTCGGGGGCGACGAACACACGGTAGGCATGAGCCAGAAAGCCTGGTTGCTCCGAGACGGATGGCCGCGCCCCAGCGCCGCCGGATGGGGGACAGACATCGCTCAGACGGCAGCCTTTCCCGCCTATCGCGTGAGCTGCACCCTTGACACGTAGCACACTGCGCGACCGCGCCTCCAGCGACGGAAGACCGGCCGCGCCTAGGCTGCGCAGGCTGCTGAGAGCCGGGGGTCGGGGTGGAGGCAGATAACACGTTAAACGACAGCAAGGCCGCACGGACCTCTAGCAGTTGGCGCGTCTGCACTGCCGTCAGCATGGGATGGAAGTGGCTCTGGACGGCAGCGAGCGGGCAGGCCGGCCACGTCATGCAGTGGCTGAGCACGGCGCCGGAGAGCCGGTCCAGCACGCGCCGGTTCACGGAGCCGCCGACGCGCCGCCACGGCGCCGTCTGGAAGAACACCGGCTGCATGTCCCTGCCGGCCCAGACGGGGCGGCGTCAGAGGGCGGCCATGTTGGCGCTGAAACACTCGTAAGCGCTCGCTAACGTTGTATACGTAGCGAAGCGGAAATGGGCTCGGTGCTAACGCTGACAACTGCGTTCAAATGTCACGTTTCCTCACAATGTTGGCCTTGACAGCTTCTGCACTCCCCAACAACGTGTGCGGCGCGTTCTACAGCAATACCCACCACCAAAAAGCAATCCTACATAGCTCCTCGTGAGCGGGAACGGACACAGACGGGAGAGCCCCGCTGTTCGCCGCCGATCGTGTTCATCCCACTGCTGGGATTGCCAAAACGAAGGTTCTAAACCATTTTTGACGAATGTGGATGCAAGATTGGATAATTAGACCATGCTTTAACACTTCACTCCATCAAGTCCCATCACCTTTCCAACGCCGTACATGACACCGTAAATCCCAACGAAGTTGAGTTAAAAACAAACTTTGAACAAATCTCGCACGGATGTGCCAAACATCTTATTTTCAAGCGCTATCAGCCTGCCACCAGCAAGCTCTGCTCATCACCACTACCTCTTTGGCACAGACATGCCGGAGCTGCCTCAGAATGTGTAAACGCCAGAACGGGCAACATATGGCACGTATTCATGGCACCTGACAGCCCACGCGACAACCACACCCTTCCCACCGTGTCCCGCACGGCGAGCAGCCACCACCGCAGCACGAGCCGCCACCTACTTGCGGCTGGAGGAGGCTAGGTCGCCGCCGACGGCGGCCAGGCCGCTGGCGGCCGACTCCTGCTGCAGGCGCGTCAGGTGGTACGAGTGCAGCACCCAGCGCTGGCCGAGCGAGCGCGCCACGTACAGCAGGCGCGTGACGCCGCCGCGCAGCAGCAGCTCGTGCTGCACCATCAGCGCCACCAGACGCCGCAGCTCGAGCCGTGCCAGGCTGCTCTCCTCCTGCCCGGCCGGCGCAGCGGTGCGTCAGAGGGCCCGGCGCGCGCGCGAGCACTACAGTCACGGAACTCACACCGTCACGCGAGACGGAACGGGCGTCAGAGTGGTCTGGTACACCTCGGACTCGGGCCCGGCTCTGCACCGGTCCGGCCGAGGCGCTCCAGTCGAACCGACCGCCTCCCGCGAAACACGCCAGACTTTCACGCCACCCGGCCGCAGCAGAAAGCCTAAGCGACCCTGGCCCACAACGCCCGGGTTGAAGACCTCAGCCACGCACCGGCAGCCGCAGCCGGGCACCAGCGCGGCCCGGCGCGGCCCTCACCAGCAGCTGCGCCGGCTCCATGCCCAGCTCGCCGGCGTCCTCCAGTATCGAAAGCAGCTGCTTGATGTGCGAGGCGTCCCGGTCAGTGATGGCGTCCTCGGCCCGCAGCCGCTCCAGCACGGCCGCCGCGCCCGGCGCCTCCTCCGACAGCATTCTGCGGCCGTCGACGCGGCACAGTCGGCGGCGGCGTGAGGGGCGCAGGACACAGGCGACACGAGGGGTGTGGCACCGACAGACACTCACTGGGCCCGCGCGGCGGGCCTTGGCACGTTATAATGGTGGCAGTCCGCACACAGATTTCCATCGTGAAAAGCGTGCATGCGTAATCCTCCGTTTTACACTCGGTAGTCATTAAAAACTTCAATAAGACCTTCGAAGCGAGGGGTGTATTCCCTATTTAGTTAAGAAAGGGGGGGGGGGGGTTCAGAACCCAGCTTAGGCTCCAGCCACCACCCACACCACCTTTGAGAAGAGGGTGGACAAAATCCAAGGAGAAACTTTCTCGCTGACAGATTATAGAAGGATGCATCATTTTCCACTGACCAGCCCCCAATCCATTTTACGAAGCTACGCCGCTGTTCGTTCCTAGCCGCGTAACAGTCAAAGGAGCCCCGCAGCTCGGCACAACCCCACTCCCGAATAAGTGAGCGTGCAGTCTGCGCAAGACGCGACACGAGTGACGCCGCTCGTCCTCGGCTCTCAGTGAGCGCAGCAGGGACGGCCAGCCTCCGCCAGCCGACCTAGACACGTCCCCTCCGCAGCCCTGGACAGCTGACAACACCAGCCACAGCGCACAGTCCCGGCCCGCAGTACTCCGCCAGAGCTCGGGCGTCCGAGCGGCAGCCTCACCTGGCGAGCTTGTCCCGCGCCGTCTGCGCCAGCCGCGGGCTGACCGGCATGTACTGCTCGTCCACCTCCATGGGGCCCTCGCCGTCGGCCGAGCCGCCGGCGGCGCTCTCCTCCGGGGTCACCAGGCGCGCCAGCACCGTGAACGGCACGATGTGCAGCTGCTCGTGGTAGTTGTGCGTGTCCTTCCTGGCGTCGGCAGCGGGGGCAGGGGGTGCGGGTAAGCACGGCGTCGGCCGGGTACCGACGCCAACATATCGGGCCGAGCGTCGCCGGTTGGGAAGTGGCCACACCGGCAGCGTCCTGCCATCGGGCGACAGCGGACGTGTAATCGTCCGAGCCCTCTCGACACGGAAGCTTAAGACCAGAACGCGGCGGCCGCTGACGCACCGCCGCCACCGTCGGAGCGGATGGCGTCCGGCGACGAGGACACCCTCGCCACCTGCAACCACGCGACGTGACTTCTGCTCCGACTTGACCTCCGCCCGCCGCTGCCCCTGTCCCTCCCCGCTGACCTGACCCGTGCGTGAGCCCTGCCGGCGCCCCGCTGACCTGACCCGTGCGTGATCCTTGCCCGCGTCCCGCTGACCTGACCCGTGCGTGATCTTGCCCGCACCCCCCTGACCTGACCCGTGCGTAAGCCCTGCCGGCGCCCCGCTGACCTGACCCTCCGCCCACCCCTGCCTCGCTGACCTGACCCGTGCGTAAGCCCTGCCGGCGCCCCGCTGACCTGACCTCCGCCCACCCCTGCCTCGCTGACCTTGACCCGTGCGTGAGGTCTGCCCGCGTCCCGCTGACCTGACCGTGCGTAAGCCCTGTCGGCGGCCCCGCTGACCTGACCTCCGCCCACCCCTGCCCCGCTGACCTGACCCGTGCGTGAGGTCTGCCCGTGCCCCCGCTGACCTGACCCGTGCGTGAGGTCTGCCCGCGTCCCGCTGACCTGACCCGTGCGTAAGCCCTGTCGGCGCCCCGCTGACCTGACCTCCGCCCACCCCTGCCCCGCTGACCTGACCCGTGCGTGAGGTCTGCCCGTGCCCCTCTGACCTGACCTCCTCCCACCCCTGCCCCGCTGACCTGACCCGTGCGTGAGGTCTGCCCGTGTCCCGCTCACCTGCCGGGCCGGTTGCCGCCGGCCATCAGCAGCTCGGTGTCCTGGCTCTCGCGCGTGGCCAGCAGCACCAGCCTGGACATGGAGCGCTGGCCGACGCGGCGCGTGCCGCCCGACGAGCGGCCCAGCGCCATACCGCCCCGGTCCGCAGCCGCCGCGTCGCTCCGGTACTCCATCATACCCTGCCGGGGGGACACCGACGCCGTCAGGCTGGTCGGCGCCGGTCGCCCACGCGCCACAGACGGCGCTCACACCGCTCCGTCACATCACACGGTGGTCATCACACAGAGGGCGCAGGCGGCAGGACCTGGCGCTGGTCGCTGCAGTTCGGAGGCCATGCCCGGCCGCCGTACCTGCATGAGCGCTGTGCCCTGCTCCTTCTCCTTGGTGCTCAGTCGGATCAGGTTGTCCGGCACGGCCACGTCGTACAGCAGCTGCAGGCGGGAGCGACCGTCAGACGGGCACCGGTCCGACGCACGCGCGCACCCCCCGGCCGTCACAAGCCGGAGTGGATCATCGGACGGACTTGCACGACAGCGTATTGCTGCGCAGCGGTCTCACTGCCCAGGACCGGTGAGACGGATACAACGTATAATAATGAAGCAGTGACAGGCGTCGTCAGAACGACACACACACCGCACACAATAGTGTGGTTATCACATAGGAACCCGACACATTAATAACCCAGACAGGTCTGCACGGTAACAACGCGGTCAACGTAAAACATAATCCTTATAAAACCTCACAAAACACGACGGAACCGATAGTTACAGCGTGGCACCTGAACATCTGACAGGCAGTCACAGTCAAACTCATGCGTCACCGTGTCCCCCCCCCCCCTTCTCTTCGGTTTCCGCGCATGCTCCGGCGCGTGCCGTCCCACCTTGTTGGTGGCCATGAGGCCGAAGATCATGGCCGCCTGGCCGCCGCGCTGCACGCCTCCGATGGCTGTCACGGCGCGCTCCTTCAGCGAGTTCCACAGCAGCGTCTTGAAGAAGTTGTAGCAGTCGGCGTACAGGCCGTACTGGTAGCGCTGGATGAAGCGGTTGCCGGAACCTGACGGCGGCGGGCGGACGGCCGTCAGCGCGGCGCCGCGCCGCCTCAGCCGCGCCACACCCCGGCGGCAGGCGGACGACCGTCAGCGCGGCGCCGCGCCCCTTCAGCCGCGCACACCCCGGCGGCGGGCGGACGGCCGTCAGCGCGGCGCCGCGCCACCTCACCCGCGCCACACCCCGGCGGCGGGCGGACGGCCGTCAGCGCGGCGCCGCGCCACCTCAGCCGCGCACACCCCGGCGGCGGGCGGACGGGCCGTCAGCGCGGCGCCGCGCCATCTCACCCGCGCACACCCCGGCGGCAGGCGGACGACCTGTCAGCGCGGCGCCGCGCCACCTCACCCGCGCACACTCCGCCGCCAGCCGCGCGCCAAACACGCCACCCCACTCGTCCTGTTGCGGTCGCCTGTTTCAGCAGCGCTGTTCGCCCTTTTCAGCGATGCGATCTGGCTGGTGCGGCCTCTGAGAGGAGCGGACCACCGAGCAAAGGGCCGAGTCGTATCGCGCGATAGACTCCAGCCGCTGGGAGTGAGACGCCGCGGTAACAGCTGCTGCCGCGCCAGGTCAGCATCCGCGCAGCTCCTGCAAACAGGTCAGTCCAGCGGCGGCCTCCAGCGCACGACTCGCCGCGTGCAAGGACCTTCCCTCCGGCTAGCCACTCATCCCGGGTCACGGCGGACGTGGATACGGACTCGACGAGGCTCCAGCTCCGTTCGGGGGAGGCAGGGCGGGCCGGATGGGTGCCGGGCAGGTGTCAGTGCGGGATCATACCACTAGTTCACTGCATGGACAGGACATAGCCGCCCGGCGTTTCCGTGTCGCACCGAATCCTGCAATCCCTGTGAGGAGGCACCACGACAGGCGGCTTGCCGCAGGCGCCGCGCGGGCCCGCCGCCCCGCTCACTTGGTGGACAGGATGTAAGGCCGGCTGGTGGAGTGCAGCAGGCCCTTGTCGTCGCGCATCAGCCGGCCGCCGATGGTGCGGCGCCGCTGCGAGGCCACGCCCATGGTGCGCACGTGCGTCAGCGCCGCGAACATCAGGTCCTCCGGGTAACGCTGGCTGGCGTGGTACAGCTGCAGCGACGGCGCCGTCTTGTCCTCGCGCGACGCCAGGAACGACTGTCGACCGCGGAGGGTCAGGGAGCGTGGGAGTCGATGATCCTGCGCCGGGGGGGGGGGGGGGGCACAGGAGCGCGCACGGGCGTCGCATGATGTACACACAGACGTGATAAAGACGGATCGTGGCTCACGGGTGCTGACAGATGCTATCTTTGGTTCCCCGTGCATGAAAAACACGCAGGAGAGCCGCATAGTTCCATAGCCACGTTCCAAAGAAGCTCGACTTCGGCGACACTGCAAAGGTTGAGTAGACCGGCTTGCAATCACACCACTCACACACACTTGTATTGCTGACAGCAATACAAGTGTGTGTGAGTGGTGACAGCAGCTATCTATACCCTGTACTCCTGACTGGCAACGCACTAACCACGAATTCACTTCCCATCACCTCCCGATTCCCGGGGACTGATCGCAGAGTGATTGAGTGCCGCCGCCGCCAGCCCGCGCCGGGCGGCGGCGGTGACATCGCCCGCGGGCACTCACCACCACCAATCCGGCGGCGGTGACATCGCCCGCGGGTACTCACCACCACCAATCCGGCGGCGGTGACATCGCCCGCGGGCACTCACCACCACCAACCCGGCGGCGGTGACATCGCCCGCGGGTACTCACCACCACCAACCCGGCGGCGGTGGACATCGCCGCGGGCACTCACCACCACCAATCCGGCGGCGGTGACATCGCCCGCGGGTACTCACCACCACCAACCCGGCGGCGGTGACATCGCCCGCGGGCACTCACCACCACCAATCCGGCGGCGGTGACATCGCCCGCGGGTACTCACCACCACCAACCCGGCGGCGGTGACATCGCCCGCGGGCACTCACCACCACCAACCCGGCGGCGGTGACATCGTCTGCGGGCACTCACCACCACCAACCCGGCGGCGGTGACATCGCCCGCGGGCACTCACCACCACCAACCCGGCGGCGGTGTGCAAGTCAACATCGGCCGACTCCCGCAGCTCGGGCAGCGGCGGTGACATCGTCCGCGGGTACTCACCACCACCAACCCGGCGGCCGTGTGCAGGTCGACGTCGGCCGGCTCGCGCAGCTCGGGCAGCGGCGCCTGCAGGCCCAGCCGCACGTTGTCGCCCAGCACGATGTCGAACTGCTGGCTGGCGGCGACACGAGGCGGGTCAGACGGCGCCCCGAGGTCACCGGCGGGGTCACCGGCGGTGCCGGCCGAGCGAGGACAGGCGCTAACTGCAGCCGCTGTCTGCTCGGTGGATATCTGAACCGACGCGCGTGACTGCCACGATCGCCGGCGCTGCCAAATGCCGGAGGAAGTGGGCACTTTAAAACATCCCGAGGCGGGAATCGAGCCCACGTCTCCTGATCCAGACACACGCCCACCCTGCCGGTCACTCCCACGGCGAGTGGTGGCCGCCGGTCCCACCTGAGCTTCGCGTAGTCCTCCGGCAGCAGGCTCCCCTTAGTGGAGGACGCGTCCCACTTGGCCAACAGCACCGCCATCACCTCGCGGAACCGCTTCGGGAACACCACCTCGGTGTTGTGCGTGTTCTGCGTCAGCCTCTGCGACTGGCGAGCACAGGCGACGTCAACCGACGCGGACGCGGCGCCGGCAGCGGCGGCTGCGCCAGTCGCGGCCGGAGCGGTCAGCCGCCGGCAGCACACGTCCCAATAGGTCCACAGGGACAGAGCGTCCACGCCAGGTCGACGGCTCGCGACACGGCGGCATCACCGCGTCAGCCGCTGTTGACAAGGCGTCAGAGGCCGCGGCGGCCGCAATGTTCATATCGCGTCAGCTTGCTGGTGGGAGAGCACTGACGCTACCAAATACAGCTTTCCCCCGGAGTCAGATGGCATGCTATCCAAGAGCTGCTGCATCGCCAGACTTACATGTTCTGTCCGACGAAACACCGCAGTGCTCACGCAAATATTTTATTCGAACCACCGCTTATATTCATAGTTCTCATATTCATCGAGAACACGTTTTGAATGCTGCGTTTGTCACCAGCACTGTGTTGCCTCAAACGGACGCCTCCCTCCTCCGCTAGCTCCCCTCCCCCCACCTGCACCTCTGTTCCGCCCTGCCCCCCGGGCTCCCGTCACTCGCGGCCAGTACGTACGGGCGTGCCGGTGATGCGGCGGATGTCCGGGTCGGCTGCGTGCTCCTGAATGGTGAGGCTGACATTGGCGGCCGTCTCGCGGCGGCGCAGCATGAACGCGATCCGCCGGTGCACCGCGTGCGCCGTCTTGTTACGCGACTCCTACCGGTGCGGGGCGGCGACGCACGGTCAGACGTCCACACACGGTCAGGCGTCCACACACGGTCAGACATCCACACACGGTCAGGCGTCCACACACGGTCAGGCGTCTACCACACGGTCAGGCGCGTCTACACACGGTCAGGCGTCCACACACGGTCAGGCGTCTACACACGGTCAGGCGTCCATGCACGGTCAGGCGTCCACACACGGACAGGCATCTACACACGGTCAGGCGTCTACACACTGTCAGGCGTCTACACACGAACAGGCATCTACACACGGTCAGGCGTCCACACACGGTCAGGCGTCTACACACGGTCAGGCGTCCACACACACGGTCAGGCGTCCACAAACAGTCAGACGTCCACACACGGTCAGGCGTCCACACACACAGTCAGGCGTCCACACACAGACAGGCATCCATACACGGTCAGGCGTCCACACACGGTCGGGCGTACACACACGGTCAAACGTACACACACGGTCAAGCGTTCACACGCGGTCAGGCGTCCATACCGGTTCGCGGGCGGCACGTGGCCCACACGGTTCTGTCGTCGGCGACGCGCCTCTATCTGTCTTCGGGTATTCCGAAGAAGACCCGGCAGCATCGGCCAACAGACACCTACAGTCACGCCCGTGGGCGGAACTTTGATCTTTCTGGAGGATCTGCCCGGATGACTGCTTCCGCCACCTCAATGTGTTGAGCTACTTACTATTCGTCAAAAAAGCATGTTCCTTTTTTGATGAAATCCGGCCTTCAATAATACGCCACTCGGCTTATGACCGCCGAACCGCGTGAGCCCCGCATTCAGCGCGTACGTCAATCGGTGTAGTGACAACGCCACCAGTCAGTCACTACTTGCGAACAATGATCGGATGCGTTTGGGCGCGCGTGCGCACACCGCACCAGCCACCGACCTCGATCGTCTCGTGGAGGGCGTCGCGCACGGTCAGGTACTGGCGGCTGGGCACCTTGTACGTGTCGGCCAGCAGGCCGAGCGCCACGCGCGACAGCAGCAGGTAAGTGTTCTCCCGCTCTGACCAGTCACCACCGTCTGTCAGCGGGGAGGCAGGGCCGGTCAGTGGCGGCTGCGGGCCGGTCGGCGGCGCCCGCGGGCCGACCGACGACGGCAGCACCGGTCTGTCAGAGAGACCGCATGACGTGGGATGCGCAGTGCGTGCCGAGGTGTTTACGTCCTGGTGTGTGAGGGAGGTGTTCAGAGCGCAGGTGGATAGAGGCACGCATCAAATGGTGATGGTTAGGAGCTATACTGAGAAGGCGGGCATAACACCGACTATGGCGCGGCAGCAATTTTTTGGGTGAGCACCTTGGTCGCCATGGCCGGCTGTTTGGAATAAACAGGCGCCATGCACGGGGTCGCAACATGGTAATGAAGGACCCACGCACACACATCGCACACATAAGCCGCCGCACGCACAAGCGAGACCGGCACACTTCTATTAGAGAAGCTGCCTTGCCTTACCACCGCTGCAAACGTAACGAACACCAGACACAGTTTGGGCACTAGAGATGCGAGATTTCAGGAACATGGTGCGGCAGCTGGCACTAGATCAGAACCAGCAGCACAGGAGCGGCAACCCGGACCGGTCCCACCTGCCTTTACCGGCATCAGGAATAGTGTCCGTGTCGACTGCAATCAAGGCTTATCTCGGCGCCAGCCCGAGCAAAGCTATGCCAACCCAGAGAGGTGTTCACAACACAGCCCAACCAATCACTGCAGGCACAGTGCCGGCACCAAGCCCAGAAAACTCGCATCCCAACTCGACACCCCTCCGGCCGGGGGCCACCTCCGGCGGCCCGGCGTCCGTACTGTTTCTTGAGCAGTGCCAGCGCACGCTTGTCCGTCTCCGTCGCGGGGCGGCTTGGGCCCGCGCTTCTTCTTGGTGCGCACCACGCGCTCGTACTTGGTTGCGTCGGTTTGCGCGGCACGCGGGCGCGCAGCCGCCGCTCCGTGCCGGCCGTGCTCGCGCCGCCGCCCTCAGCTGCCGGTCAAACACCGAGAGTCACGCGCACAGCGGCACCGGGAGCGAGGCGAGTCATATTCCACCCACTTGCCAATACAAAGGCAGGCAATTGCATTTTCAGTTGGGCTAATCCCTCGTTAAGACTGCCCACTCCATTCAAGGGGCTTGGCCTCGTTACGTGGTGAACAGATGAGATCATAACTCGGAAATGTGAGACGTTTGAGGCCGCACCGGCGTCATAGCACCCAGAGTTCACCATTACACCCACACAACCATCCGCGGCGGACCACCCCTCCGTCGGATCCCAGCTCGCCCCCGGGGTCCGCCACGCCGGCCGGCCGCCGCCCCCACTCACGGGCCGTGGCCGGGCGCTTGTGGCTGGGACCGGGCTGGTCGGAGTCGGCCGGCGCGGCGCGCTTCTGCCCGGCCGTGGTGCGGCGTACGTTCCTGCCGCGCGTCACCAGGATCGGCCGCTCCTCGTCGCCGTCAGACGGCTGCCGGCGCGGAGGGGCGGCCGGTCACCGTCAGCGACGCGGCAGACCCGGGACAGGGGGAGGGCGACGGACGGGACGCGGCGAGACACAGAACGGCACATGGAGACAGGGACTGAGACAGGAGCCGGCGGTGCAGGGCGGCGGGCGACGTCAGCGTGCGGATACTGCGACTTGGAGGCCGAGACAGGACGAGACGGTGAGGGATAGGGGACCGCGTCAGGGCACCAGACCAGGCTCAGAGACGGAGAAGCGACCGGGGAGTGACACGGAGCCCGACAGTAGGGTGCAGCCTGACTAAGAGACAGCAAACGCAACACGAAGAACGCGTCGTCACGTGATCGGCACAGCAGTCAACGTCACGGCATGACGGTCAACATCACGGCACAGCAGTCAACGTCACGACAGAGCAGTCACCGTCATGCCACAGCAGTCGACGTCCCGACAAAGCAGTCAACGTCATGGAATGACGGTCAACGTCCCGACAAAGCAGTCAACGTCCCGACAGAGCAGTCAACGTCACGGAACAGCAGTCAACATCACGGTACGACGGTCAACATCACGGCACGACGGTCAACATCACAGCACAGCAGCCAACGTCACGGAACAACATTCAGCGCCACGACACGGCCGCCGCCGCCGCCCGCAGACCAGATCCAATCGCAATGACACGGAGCCAGGCGGGCGCGGAGCAGGGCCGCCGGCCCGGGCGCGGACGGGCCCCGACGGTCCGGGCGCGGCGCTCCACACGCGGGGGCGCCGGCAGCCGGCCCCACCTTGTGAATCTGCACGTCGACGATGGGCCCGATGCGCTGGGCGGCCGAGGGGTCCGGCGCGGCGACCGGCGACTTGCGGCGGGTCGAGGTGGTGCGCCGCCGCTTGGGCCGCGGCCCCCTCCGACTCCTGGGAAGGTGCGCGGGTCAGCCGCTGCACGGTCGTGACCGGTGTAGATGGTGCGAGTGTTTGGCTGCTGCGGCTGTTGGTATTGCGGTTGGTTGCCAGAAAGCACGAAACATCACCAGCACCAGATCTCGGCGGTGGGGAGCAGACGGACTGTCAGACCGACAGCCCATGCTTTGACTTCAGACCATTTTAAGGCGGCGGTGTGTTGAGCAACAACACACCGTACGCGGCTGTTGCGCACAGGAGGACCTGCCTGTATCATCGCGACGTCGAACGATCCACTCAAGCTTGACCATACAGCACGCAAGTGTGAGCTCAACGCATAAGCCCGCACCGCCAGCACAGCAGCGTTACTCATGTTTGGGCCATACGTGGCTGAAAGCTCGCTTCGGAGTGATGCAGTGTTTGCTGACTCTGCAGGCCCAACCTGACGCCCATCAACCCGTCGTCTATACCGCGGCAAACGCGTCTGCGCACATTAGACGAGATCCGACGCACCTCAGTTCCATCTAGGGGTCTGCATGCCGCCTGGTTGGCCCGCTTCCACTTCCAGTTTCTCAGAACGTGGCTGAAAAGCAGCCACACCGTCACGTCAGTCCCACGCAGCGCACGACAGCGACCGCGTCGCATCCAGCCACCAAAGCCGGTCGTGATGGCGCTTGGATCTGCCACGACACAAGCCACACGCCATCGACGCATGGGTGCCTATGAACATCGACACGCATCTGCCAAAACGTCATCCGACGAACTGGGAAACCGCTAACCATATGGACGCTCACAGGACCGGTTCGTGCGCCGGAAGAGACAGAGAGCTGCCGGCACTCCAGGTAAACATCGTCACAAACCTCTCGCGTCGGTGTCACGCCGACCGGCTGACTCACGCGAACATGCTGGTGTCGATGCCGCCGGCGCCCAGCTGGTCGCCGGGGATCCTGCCCCTGGTCGCGCGCCGCCGCCTCCTCGGGCGTGCGCGGCTGCGCCCACGACACAGCGCCGCCTTGTAGAACGGGATCTCGATCGTCACCTTCTGGCCAGCCACCAGGTTGCGCGAGCCTGCGGCGGTGGCGGCGGCGGCGGAGGGGCGTTAGACGACTGACACTCGGTGTGAACCTGCACACCGGGTGCTGGGAGCGGCGCTGGGAGCGGTGCTGCGAGCGGCGCTGGGAGCGGCGCTGGGAGCGACGCTGGGTGCAGTGCTGGGAGCGGCGCTGGGAGCGGCGCTGGGAGCGACGCTGGGTGCGGCGCTGGGTGCGGCACTGGGAGCAGCGCTGGGAGCGGCGCTGGGAGCGGCGCTGGGAGCGCGCTGGGTGCGGCGCTGGGAGCGACGCTGGGTGCGGCGCTGGGTGCGGCACTGGGAGCAGCGCTGGGAGCGGCGCTGGGAGCGGCGCTGGGAGCGGCGCTGGGAGCGGCGCTGGGTGCGGCGCTGGGAGCGGCGCTGGGAGGGGGGAGCGGCGCTGGGTGCGGCGCTGGAGCAGCGCTGGGAGCGGCGCTGGGTGCGGCGCTGGGTGCGGCTCTGGGTGCGTCGCTGGGAGCGGCGCTGGGAGCGACGTTGGGTGCGGCGCTGGGAGGCGGCGCTGGGTGCGGCGCTGGGTGCGGCGCTGGGAGCGGCGCTGGGAGCGGCGCTGGAGGCGGCGCTGGGTGCCGGCTCACGACGGAGTACTCACGGACCAAAAACAAACCAGAGATAACAGGAGGAGCACTGACAGGGGGTATGACGGCTCCACCAGTAGTTGTGCAGCCATCTCAAAGCCGCGAGCCAAGCACGCGTTCAGAACCGACGCCGTTCTAGACCGGCCAAATTCCGTAGCTAAGCGCATCACTCCCGCCGCCGACTGTGCAAGCAGTCCACCGGGCCCGCCTCAGGGACGCCACCCACGACCGACAGCGGACCCGGGGGACTGTCGTCCACGCACGGACAAGCAGAGCGATGCCGCGACGGCTGGGCTACCCGAAGCCGACCGTAGACGCACTGCGGCGGCCGCCGCGCCCGAAACATCCCCGAGCGGCCGGCGCCGGCCGGCTGGCGCCAGCTCACCGAGCGCCTTGCTGAGCGAGATGGTCTTCAGGTCGAACCAGTAGTCCCTGAGCGAGGGCAGCGTGTCGAAGTGGTACATCTTGACCGGGTACTGGATGTTCCGGGTCGACGCTGGTGGAGCCCTCGCGCGAGATGCTCGTGTCGAGCAGCGACGCGTTCCGGTTTGCAGAAGACGAACACCTGACGCGCGGACGGGCGGGTCAGATAGCACCGGGCACGCGTAACCGGCGACGTGGTTACAGATTCTCGGTACATCGGTTATCATACTGGAGGTACTCCAGGTATCACTCGCTGCCTTGTCATCGAGCCCCTTTCTACATGCCTCTCAAGTTTAAGTTCTGTTGACATCGAATCAATAACATCAAAAGTTGAATAGCTTGAAATATGAAAGACGTTTCTTGCAAAGAAAAACGCGTTCCGGCAGCACGTCCATCGTCACCCTGAGACGAGCACGATGAAAATAATATTCCGACTCAGGGTCGCCCCAACTTCTCCCAACATCACTGCCGCCACCCACTTCCAGCGACCCTCCACAGGCAACGTCCAATCATCTCCCGAGTTCCGACTGGGACGGGCAGCACGTCGCCGGACCGCGGCCCGGCCGCCGGCGCCGCTCGCAGCAGGCGGCAGCTCTCACCTGGTCCTTGGCGAGGCATCTGCTGGCCAAGCTGCGCCAGCCCCATGAACACCAGCCGCGTGATGTCGTCGTGGATGGCGAACAGTACTTGCGCCTGTGGGGTACGCGCCAGTCAGGGTCGGAGAGGAGGAGGGGCTGGACGGCCACCACGGCTCGCTCAGGCAGCCGCCGGCCGCATCTGAGACCAATGTGGTGACGTGAATCCGATGAGTCCGATCACCGGTGCGCCTCGCGAGTCATTCCTCGTCCTTGCGCCTCCGACGCTGGTTAACGCGGTCAACAGAAGTCATCACGTGAGACCTCCGACACGTGCCGCCGCTTACAAATGTCCCGGAGGACCGCCTTAACGGAAGACGCACTGCAACCCAGGTCAGCTCCAGAACACGACCAGAGTGGCCCCTCCCACTCTGCCGTGGGCAGGCGCAGAACGTACCATACCCGGGAGTGAACCACCATTCCACGCCTTTCCGAAAAAAACTTCCAAAATTGTTTGTACAATTACATTTTCGTTCCCAGCGGGGCTCTGCTGCTCCTGCCTGTGAGTGCCCTCCGGGCGCTTTCTCTGCCCTCTGGCGCTGACTCACTTCCAGAAGAGGCAGCTGACCACGTCCTCGGGCAGGTGGGTGGGCGGCAGGTTACGCAGCACGCGGTGCCTCATGTAGCGGTGCACCGTCGCGTGTAGTAGTGGAATGTTGACCAGGCGCAGGAAGAGCAAAGCGGCATCCGGATCAGCACGTCACAGAGCAGGCTCCAGCCGTGGCCCCAGCCTAACCACACGGCCATCAACGTCGTCAGCGTCATCAGTGTCATCAGCGTCATCAGCGTCATCAGCGTCATCAGCAACGGCACGTCACGGGGCAATAACGCCACCCACAACGGACTCAAGCTGGAGCACAGACGGAACATTCACTGACTGCGTCGTCAGAGGACGGAGCGCGCACGGAACACACACGAGAACGGGGCGGATACGGAGGACGCACACGAAAACGGAGCGCCACAGAGGACGCGCACGAGAGTGGAGCAGACAGGGAGGACGCACGTGAGAACGAAGGACGGAACGCACATCTCTGATCTGACGACCTACGACAGGAGGGGGTACACAACCCCCACTCGGCAACCCAGGACGGACCCGACACCGCCGACCCCAGCGCGCGGCGGCCGGCCTCTGGACGGCCGGCCACTCACTGGCGTGCGACGGCAGCGGGCTGATGAACATCTGCCAGCCGAGCTCGGCGGCAGCCGTGTACACGTGCGGCAGCTGGCTCAGGTCCAGGTCGGGTCGTGCTCGGCGATCAGGCGGCGGCGGCTCGGTCTGGTCCAGCCGCGGGTCACCGGCGTACTCGCGGCTGATGTAGAATAGCAGCTCCTGCAGCAGCTGCAAGCACGCCGGAACTCGCCGAAGTACGTCTCGTTCACGTTGCGCCCGCTGCGGGAAGGAGCAAGAACGATGAACGCCGAGTAGCGAGGGGAGAAGCAACATCTTTCACTAGCGTTACTAATCACGTAGTCCGTTTAATGTGCGTCATCGTATGTCTGGGTGGCGCCACGAACAAGCTCAACACGAAGTCATGACTAATGGTAAGCAAAGAACGCACACATGCCCTAGCCACGTTCACACCATTACACTGTTCGGACTGATAACCACAGCAGACGCCGGCCCATCGGCTGCCACGCGGCGCGCTCCGCTGCGCCCGTCACTGACCGTGGCCAGCACGTGCGGGCTTCTCGACGGCGTCGCAGCGCATGGCCGTGTGGAAGCGCCGGTGGTACTCGCGCACGCTGCTGGCCACGTCGGGCGCCAGCCGCTCGGCGTCGGCCGGCGCCAGCGGGTCGGCCGGCTCGGCGGCCAGCTCCGTCTGCAGCGCGCTGTTGACGCCCAGCTGCACCAGGAACGCCGCCTTGGCCTGCTCGATGGCCGACTTCAGCAGCGTGTTGTCTGCAGGGAGTCGGGAGGGGCTCAACGGAGGCGGGGGCCGTCGCGACGGGCATAGTGGGAAAGAACTCAACGCTCCCAGTTGCCATGTCTTTATCCCTTGGCCAATGGTAAAGACATGCCAACTAAGACGTGGCGCGTGCTCATATTTATTATACAGGAATAATTACGTTGAGCATACTCTCGCCTGTGGCAAACACTGCGTACCTGACAGGTTATGTTATAATTCATCCAGAATTGCGACCGTATTTTAATACCCAGGATTCTTCTGCCGTCTCTAGGCCCTCGTTGGCGTGACCAACTCATCAGTGATGAGGTGCCGCTGCCGGCTCGTCCTCACCCTTCCAGTGTCCCCGAGCTGGTGTACCCCTGGCCTGGCGTGCCGACTTGTCGGTGATGAGGTGCCCCTGCCGGCTCTATTCTCATCCCCCAATATCCTCGCGTCAGTGTACCCCGACCTGGCGTGACCGACTCGTCAGTTGATGAGGTGTCGTTGTCGGCTCTGTCCTCACCCTTCCAGTGTCCCCGAGCTGGTGTACCCCTACCTGGCGTGACACACTCGTCAGTGATGAGGTGCCGCTAGCCGGCTGTCCTCACCCCTCCAGTGTCCCCGAGCTGGTGCACCCCTAACCTGGCGTCACCGACTCGTCGGTGATGAGGTTGCCGCTGCCGGCTGTCCTCACCCCCCAGTGTCCCCGAGCTGGTGTACCCCTAACCTGCGTCACCGACTCGTCGGTGATGAGGTGCCGCTGCCGGCTCTGTCCGTCGCGGCTCAGTGTCAGCCGATAGTTCTTGATCAGGCCCGCGTCCGACAGACGCTTCAGGATCCGGTTGAAGCTCTTCTTGGTCCATCTTCGTCAGGATGCCCTGGTCGTCTTCACTGTTTTGCTGCACCATCTGGTGGCAACAGAAGGCGACGTATTTTGAGTACGTAGAAAAGACACGCACGAAACCGTGCTACAGGAATAGGGACGACCAAAGCTCACAAACTGGTGCTCTTAAAAATCGTGTGCTTTTCTACACGTGTGCATTGTATGCAGGTTACAAAAATCGAACCGAGCAGCCATCCCTGACCGATGCCATATCATCTAAGTTATGCTTCCAAGCTTATCAAAGTCATATTTGCCATCAACCGAGCTGACAGAAGCAATGTCCCTTCTGCTGTTTAAGTCCTCTGCAAACAAATGCTGTGACCGGGCCATGTGAAAAGAAGCATTGTGATGCTTATCACAGCATGGAGAATAAACTAGAAGTCGTGCAGCCTGCCATGGAAGTCCTTTAACTTTTTCCACGAGCTGATAACTTTGATGCCCAAAGTATTTCCCATCGCCAAGAAATTATCCAAAGACTTGACATCTTTCCCACCTGTACGCTTTGCTTTTCACAGCAACATCGCTTAGCAGCCTGAAATCCTCACCCGCCTAAGCTGGAACGCATTGTCGATAATCTTCAGCTTCTGACATCTCCAGAATGTCCTGGTCCTCTTGACCAGACGGCTTGACGACGCCTTGGTGATAGCTGCGTGTTGCTCCAGAGGTATCACCTTTTTGCGCGGACTGCAACACACGAGGTACACAGAAATTATTACTCCGACTGCGGCGTTGGCGTGAGAACAACATCATCTTTTCGAAGCTAGATTATTCCAGCCACAGGGAATATATACCCTCAGACCTACAATGACACAAAACCCACGATGATTCGTAGTACCGAAGGTGTGTTCATTCATCGCTTCGGAACCAACCACACATCTTCGCCTCCTCCGTTTTCGCAACGGTTCAACCCTCCTGTCCTCTTCACAACTTGCATAGCCTACAAAGCGACAACCGCACACAGAACCCACACACACACCACGCGAACGTCGCTGCAACCAAACACAGCGCTCATCGCCGCTCCCGCACACTGCGCCCTGGACGGGCGTTTCGCCTGGGTTCCAGTCCATAGTCGGCGCGCGTGGCCTGGAGCCTGGCCTGGCCTGGAGCGCGTGGCCTGGAGCGCGTGGCCTGGAGCGCGTGGCCAGCTGGCCTGGCCTGGAGCGCGTGGCCTGAGCGCGTGGCCTGGAGCGCGTGGCCTGGAGCGCGTCCTGGAGCGCGTGGCCTGGCGCCTGGAGCGCGTCGGAGCGCCCGGAGCCCGCCCTGTCGAGACGTGTCGGACGCACGCGTCGCGTGGCGCCCCACCTGATGGGCTCTAGCCGCACAGGGTCGATCAGCTCCAGCTGGCAGTGCTCCATGTCGGTCAGGTTGCCCGAGTCGGCCTGCTCCGGCTCCTCCAGCTGGAACGGGGCGGGCGTGTGCAGCAGCGGCCGAGTCACCGGCCGACCGGTCAGCAGACCCGGCCACGCATAACTGACACAGCCGAGCCAGGCGACGCCGCAACGACGCTCGAAACATGAGCGGCGCATCGAACACATACGATCTGCTCTTCTAAGCCAGAAACGGCTTAAAGCTGTTCAGAACATAAAGACCACTACGAGAGGAAACAAATGTGATAGGATAGGCGTCTGTGTGGGTGGTTTCCCTGGCAAGTTACGTCGCCCCTGCAGGGACAGTTCTGTAGTCGGAGATTCCCAGCCCACACATAACAAATGCCAGCATTGGGCAGTTCCTTTTCGACATGGTGCAAAACCCACTTTTCAAGGCTCACTGGAAGTGATCACTAAAACGAACGTAATGCATCGTAGTTTTACAGAACCGAGTCGAATCCCAACTCATACGCTGTTCCTACTGCCACCGTCACGCACATTTAGCAGTCCGCCTCGCCTATCCTCCCAGCACCAGCACCGGCACCAGCACCAGCACCAAGTCATATCGGCGGGGGGAGAGTGCCGCGCGGTGGCGCAGCGCGGCGCCGCGGCCGGCCGGCGCCGTCGCACCTTGGGCTGGAGGTTGGCGGCGGCGTCCGGCGGCGGCGCGGGCGGCGGCGGCGGCGCTGACGCCGGCTCAGCGGGCGTCAGCAGAGGCGGCTCGCCGCTGTCCTCCGGCGCACACGGCATGACGAACACCGGCTCAGGCGGCACCAGTGACGGCAGCTGACGAACACCGGCGCGGCCGGGTCAGCGGCGGGCCCGGGGGTGGGCTGGCCAAACAGCTACAGGCAGAATGATACGATCAGATGCAACACACAAAGGCAGTCTAGAGGCGGGCTCAGGAGGTCTAGTGAAGAGCTGCACAAAGAGTGCAGGTTCAGCGCCGTGCTGAGAGCCGGTGGAAACCGGTGGCGGGGCGGCGGAGCGATGAAGCGGACTGAGAGTGACACAGAATGAGCGAGTGGGGACGGCGGACGACCACAGGGAATGGGTAAGCAGCCAGACGTCCATACTAGTACATAGTCATCAAGCAAAGACGCAGTGGACAGAGACGCTGTGGCAAGTCTCTCGGGCGGCGGCCGGCCTCCCGGCGCCAG